GTTTTACTTGAAAGGACTAAAAAAACCCCCTTGTTGGAGGGAGCGCATCCATTTATAGATAAAAAGGGCTTTACAAGTGAGTGGGTGAGGGCGTATGCTATTGGGCTTTGTCGCCCATGCGGGGTACAAGATATAGTAGGCGCCCTACAACCTTTTAAAGCTACTTTGTAGAGTGTGTCGTGATACATGGAAGGTTGCGTTGTTTTCTCCAGAAATTATAATGATTTGATAGAATTGCCTATCTGTTCTTTAAAAATCGATGCCCAAAGGCATTTTAGATGGGATTTTAATGGCGCAGATAAATAGTAAATTACATACTGTTTGTGTTAGAATGGTTTGTTATAGTTTTGTATGGTCCAAAGAATAGCGTGTTTCGATTTTTAGTCTTTTCGTTTCGTCTCTGGTTTCTTCCTTTCTCAGACGGCTCTCCCCTTGTCACACGCCTCGTCTCAGTCGCTTAGTCGGAGAAGAGCGGAAGCCTCTAGTACAAAGTCGAGTCGGTAGTACAAAGATTTTGTCAGGTAAGGATTGGAGCTAGCTCGGATCGGGAGAGGTGGGTCAAGTAGTCTGTGACCTTCCGTCGGTGTTGGATCTGTTGTCTGGACCCTTGGGCCGGTCGTTGCCTTGGGCGAGCCTTGGTGTGGAAGCCGGTCCCCGAGGAACCCCGGGTTTATGAACCCGACACATAGGAATTAAATCATTTTTCATAGGCGAAAGGGCCTACTGTAGCCTAGTGATTACAGAGAGCCATCATTTTTCATAGAGAAAACTCAGAAAACAGGAAACAAAATCCGCATTAACGTGGGTGCCCTAATTTTCTGAACTTATTTTAGCAGGATGTTAATGGTGACTTCATCAATCTCATTCTATAATCCAAATGTTTAGATTTCATTCTCAATTTTCTACCCATTTTTATTTTTTAGGAGATCCAAACTGGACCATAGCTCGATCGAGTGGAGTGATAACAAAGGCTCCGAATAGCATCATCATCTTGTCTCTACATGTAAAAAAAAGGAGAGGCATTTATATTAGAAGGTCTTCGCGCTATACAGGTAGCTTTCTCTTTTAGCCCTTTACTTTGTAGTTTGTACAAGGTTTTATAATGATTTCATAATAGCCTATCTGTTCTTAAAAAAAATTGCAATTTTAGATATGAATCCAGACAAATAGATTCATACCCAGAGTTGTTATATTTTTGGGACAAAGAATAGAGCGTTTTAGTCTTCGTAACAAGCTCCCTTTCTCGAAGCTCCTTGTACACGAAGCCTCTAGTACAAAGCCAAAGATTTTGTCATAAGGATTGCTAGCTCTGTTGCTAATCTGTTGCATATGTCGTTGTACGGTCCGGGCGTCAGGAACATGCTTAGTCATTTTCTTTTAGGTTTATATATATATGTTTTTTAAAATAGTTTCTTTGAGTAGCAGTGGTCGGGTCCGGGATGAGCTGGACGCGCACGTAGGCAGCACGCCACCGTCGAAAGGCCGGCTGTACCGAAAACGACGTACTGCAACTGCAAGCTCGGCCGGCCGACGCCGTGGCCTCCAGACGACTCCAGGGACGTCTCTCCGGCAGCACGTCACCGCCGCACCGTCTGGAAGATCCGTGCTGGCAGATTATGATCTGCCGATCTGGTATTCTGGTAGTAGTATGATGCACGTCCATTGGACCCCAAAAACTGCCAACATATGGAATACTATACTACGTATTTCCTCCGTCTCATAATAAGTACACTTTGAGAGTTTAGATTTTATTCTAAAATAAATACACCTTTAGATATAAGACAAACTAATTTTACTCGTGTATTTTTTACTTCTCTCTTTCTGATATGCAATGATTACATCTTTATAAAGACATATATATAATTTTTCATTAATCTTAATTTCTTTAACTAAACTTTAAAAGTACATTTATTTTGGAACGGAGGTACAAACATCAATAGGATCCAGATCGGATTAGGAGCATTCGCAGACACGGAGGGAGTGTCATCGCTGCTCGCCTGCTCTGTGTCTGGTTTGTGGTTTGTGCTGATCCGAGTTGGCGGCAGCCACTGGATTGTTCAATGGGACAGTCTTGCCTGTTGCCTGCGCATGGTCCTCACCGGCGGCGCCCGCAATCGCTGACCGGACAAGACAGTGTTGGCCGCCTGTCTCTTGTCTCTTGCCTGCACCCTTCAGCCGTGCGGTCCGCCCTTCTCCCTCCTCTTGTCCTGCAACACTCACATGTGTTCTTTCTTCGTCCTACGTGCGGCGTACCATTGCCAACAAGGAAAACTTGAAGATACTAGTACGTGCATGCATGTGGCCATTTCCGTGGAGCAGCTAGCTTTACCTGAAAGGCGCAAACTTGAAGCGCCATGTGCGGATTAATTTGGGCGAGCAGTTTACCTGAAAGGCGCCCGCCGCCATATTGCTTGCTGAATTTTAGAAACCGTGCAAAAAGATTCTCATCTTGCAGTGGATCGGCTTCTGTTAGCCATGATTATAAGCAAAGGACTCGTTTCCTTGTTCCTTTTTACTAGTTAGTTAACTACCACGAGTAATTAATAATAATCTTTAATTTCTCAAGGAATCCCTTCTTTGCCCGTGTTTGCCAATGATTGATTGCCTTGTTCCGTTCATTTGTTTTGAACCTGGTTGTTGCAACATGAGCAATTAAAAAAAAGCTTGAGAAAATACATCTTCCCTCCCTGATGGCATTTTTAGCCGCCACTACAAGTCTAGGGAATCATTTCACTGGCGCCCTTTCAGAGAAACAGAAACGGAGAGAACGACAGGCACTGCATGTTTCTTGGAGTGGACGAGTGGTGTGAGCCAACAAAGCGCCCAACAACACCTGTGAGGACGCATGATGCTCCCATCCACTCCCGGTTGTTTAGCGTGGCCCGCTAATTAAAGCACCACCAACATAGCTTCAGGCATTCAGCAACAGTGAAATTAAACCATCTGGGAAAGATAACGCAGCGCGTTGTGGTTCTCACCTGATGACCAGTATTATCATCATTTGATCAGGTGTGTGTGATGCAGGGTGACTGACAGCAACCTCTCACCTGACCAGGCAAGACTTTGTACGAGTACGTACTCGTATTTTCTTTTCCCATCAGGTACACGGGTGATGCAGCAAGTCAGCAACAGTTTCCTCACGCTGCCTATTCTGGCAAAGGAGGACCCACAAAGATCAAAATCTTTACAAGGCCATGTTTAGTTGCCTACGGAATTGGCGCGGCCGGATTTCCGACAGATAGTGTAGCGTATTGTAGCATTTTCGTTTGTATTTGGTAATAATTGTTTAATCGTTGACTAATTAGGTTCAAAACGTTTGTCTCGTAAATCAAACTGTGCAATTAGTTTTTAATTTCGTCAACATTTAGTACTCCATGCATGTACCGCAAGTTTAATGTGACGAGAAATCTTCTTTTCGTATAGTGCTAAAGTTTGGATTTGAGGGCGAACTGGCCCCGTTTAGATGCGAATTTTTTGGTTTTTTGCTACTGTAGCACTTTCGTTTGTATTTGGCAAAAATTATCCAATTATGGACTATTTAGGCTTAAAAGATTCGTCTCGCCAATTACGGACAAACTGTGCAATTAGTTATTCTTTTTACCTATATTTAATGCTTCATACATGTGCCGCAAGATTTGATGTGACGAGAAATCTTAAAAAATTTTGGATTTTGGGTGGGATCGGGCCTAAACATGGCCCAAGTTTCTTTTCTTGTGCTTCAATCCCACTCTATTCACTAGGGAAAGATTGGGGGCAATGGCAATAGTCCTATGATGGAGATGACTCATTGCCTGGCCTTGCTGACAAAGGTCTCTGATGAGTGTGACAGTGACATGGGACAGAGTGTCATGCATGCCAAACAGCCAAAGTATTAAAACGTCTGTCCTTGCCTCCTACTAATTCCCTCCTTTAGGCCTTGTTTAGTTTGCAACTTTTTTCAACCGGATGAATAGTACCACTTTCGTCTTATTTGGCAAATATTGTTCAATCATGGACCAACTAGGCTCAAAAGATTCATGGATGTGATGATTTCCAAATAAACTGTGGGGGCCTAGAATGGATGGGTCAGGTAAGGTATGTGATGGATGCTTTGGAACCCATCAGGCCTTTTTTAGCTAATGATCATTGGAGACATGTGAATGAAACAGGGACCCTAGAAGACGGTAGGTAGTACATGGATGCCCACCCATCATTTTCAGCCGCCGAGACGCGAGACCCAGACAAAGGCAGCCAGCAGAAAAGAGGGGAAGCCCTTCACCTCACGGCACATGCTCATCCCATCAGCTCCCCCAATTCCATTTCTCCATCCATGACAGCTTGCCATTTCCCCACCTGTTCCTACGCTACCACCACCTAATAAAAAAATTCCAGGCACCTACTCCCCCGTTCCAATCTGCGAAAGGTGACTCCTTTCTGTTCTTTTTATTGGAATTATTTCTTGCTTCCTCCTCTCTTCTCCACAGACCAAGAATCTCTTCACCGGTTATTCGCGGGTCATTTCATTTCGGTCGGTGCCTTTTTTTAGGCCAATTGGAGACGAGGGAAGGGTGGTCTGTGTTTTCTTGCTGCAAGCGCTTTCTTGGGCGAGTTGAATTCGGGTGCCTCTTGCTCCAGGCAGTATTTTATCGAGCTGGATTCTGGTGCCCCGTGATTCTTGCTTGTTGCAGGCGCCAAGGCGAGGAATTGGGCCTAGCTCCAGGTCAATTCCGTGCCTTGTTGCGTTAAATAGAAGGATTCCTGGATGGACGACGCCATGGGGGACAGCACGCTCTAGGCGCAGGTTGGTTCCTCCTCTGCGTGTGGTGAATCTTATGGTTAACCCACTTTCCTTTCTGGAGATTTATTCGAAATGTTGACGACATGGATTTTACTATCAAATTTGCCATTACTGCTGCTCATAGATGTGAGATTTGGTGGTGTCAGTTGGTGGGAGATTCTTGGCGTGTCATCCCTGGAACTGGAGGCTGGTGCTGATTTGGTGAGGACAGTGCAGCAGAAAGATGTCGTTCAGGAGCCTGATTCAGGACATGAGGGACGAGTTCGGGAGCATCTCGCGGCACAGCCTGCGGTCCCGGTCTCACCGCTCCGCCGGGAACGCGTCGCGGGCGGCGGCCGCGGGGCCGGCGGAGGCGATGGACCAGAGCTGCTGGTCGCAGCTGCCCCCCGAGCTCCTGCGGGAGGTGCTGGTGAGGATCGAGGCGACTGAGAGCTGGTGGCCAGCGCGCAAGGACGTGGTGTCATGCGCCAGCGTCTGCCGGACCTGGAGGGGCATCATGAAGGAGGCCGTGCGCGTCCCGGAGGTGTCAGGGAAGCTCACGTTCCCCATCTCGCTTAAGCAGGTCTGTGCTCTCCGGCCATCCTCATTGTACAAATTGTTCTATTACCATCTTGATTGTTGATGATGCTTACTGCTTAGTACAGTACTCAGTTATTGTATGAATTATTAGTTTGGTGAAGCGGTTAAGGAAAACTCATGCCTTTGTTGAATCATTGCTTGAGCTTCATGAATGGTCCTTCATGCCTTCGTTGAATCATTGCTTGTGCTTCACGAGGGCACTCACAATGCAAAAACTATGATAGTTTCTATAGGTATTAATTGCACTGCCACGTAGGCAATTTGCTGATGTGGCAAGTGATTTAACGAGGAGAGAGAGGAATTTTCCAAGAAACCAGGTCTAACTAAGAAACTGGGTCTTCACGGTTATCGATAGATAAGAAACTACTCGTAGCCCATTGGGAGAGTGAATATGGTTTTTATCACTACTTATGTCCTCTCCCGTAGAAAATCTTGCACTGGGAAGGATAGTTTCTTGGTGCGATGTCCTATGCTATAGAAACTGCTAATAGTTTCGTGCAATGGGAGTGCCCTGAGTGCTCTATGCCTTTTTGAATCATTCACGTTTTTGGATGTCTGTATACTGTGCTCTTAAGGAATGGGCAATCTGTTTCACAGGAAGCCCCAGTGATCATATTATGGGTGGTTTTGAAACATCTGAGCTCCTAATGTTGGATGCAGAGGCGGTGCTAGAAATGCTAGTTTTTCTTTTCTTTTCTTTTGTGTGGGTGGGGTGGGGGGGGGGAGGCACAGTACGTTCCCCCCAAAAAAGTAGACTCCTTTTTAAGGGGGGGGAGTGTTAGGGCACGAGCAATGGAGGCTAATACTCCTAGTGGTTTTAATACAAATAAAGTAGTCCACAGAGACTATAAAATATTGAGACTTCTATTCACACAATACAAACTATCACTACTTGTGGTCTCAAAAGTTTTTTTTTCTTTTATCATGTGTCATTTTTATTTTATCTCCCTCTTCTTTTCTCGTATGGACCACCTTCTCTCTCTCTAAGCATATGTAGCTTCTGCGGGTCACTATGACAACTCTAGAGCATCTACTAACATCGCATTCAATCCTACATGGATTTTAGGGCTACTTCTATAGCCACTGCATTGGGGAAGCCCTAGGCAGCCAGTTAGGGAGGGGGCACTGGCCCCGACGCCCCATAACAGGGAGGGGGCACTGCCCCCCCCTCTGCCCCTGGTTGGATGGCTACACAAGTCACGATCTTACTTACATGAATTATGTGCTTTGAGATTAGGGAGGGTTGTTGAGAAAACAAACTTGGTCATAACACGTTATGTATCAATGACGTGAAAAATCAGATGATTATACTGGATGACCCATTTCCTTGTTATTGCAGTCATTGACAAGTTCAGCATGAAAGGCCATTTTAAATGTATTATATTTTGTTTTTCCATTTCATTAAGAATTCTTCACATTTTGACTTAATAGTACTTGTACGGTTACATTTTGCTTATAATTAATGTTCGAAGACAAATTATTCTGACTTAATAGTACTTGTACTGTTATCACATGACTTTCAGCCTGGCCCAAGGGATGGCACTCTTAAATGTTTCATCAGGAGGAATCGAACTACTCAGACATATTATCTGTATATTGGATTGACAGAAGGTATGCTTTTTTTTTATCTGTCTACTAGAACTACACCCACATAGTATGGATTATTTACTAAGTTTGGAATAATTCTGTTGCAGCATTGGCTGATGATGGAAAGTTCCTACTTGCTGCACGCAAGTGTCGTAAGCCCACGTGCACGGACTACCTAATTTCTCTTGATAAGGTTGATATGTCAAAGGGAAGCAGCACCTATATTGGCAAGCTAAGGTCAGCTTTTGGGATATGATGTTGGAATACGTTAAAGCTATTATTTTTGCTAGCTTTTAATACAATACACATAGCCAATACCCTTAGGGCAGTCTCAATGCTAGAAATTACATGTAGTTTCTATACCTATTAATTTTCATAGACACTACATATAGAAACCATGGTCCCAATAGATAGTTTCTATAGAACAATTTTTTTATCCAATCACATATATTCTCTCTCCATTCTCTACCAATCACATCCCTTCATGTCTTGGTTCTCGTATAGACATGGTTTCTAACTTAGACCCGGTTTTTATGATTTTTGCTCTCTCTCTTCAATAACTACCTTGCCACATCAGCAAAACGCTTAGGTGACAGTACAATTAATGTCCATAGAAACAATGGTGGTTTCTGCATTGGGAGTGCCCTTAGTTACACTACAGGTTGTTTCAGTTAAAGTGTCAACTGTCAACAGCATTGTTTTCTTTTTTTTCTTTTGTCACATTTCAGTCTGTGGAATATATGAGAACTATTTTTTTTCTTTTGCGTTGCGCAAATCCCTATCGTCAACTGTTCTTAAACATTATGTCAAATAATACACACTTTGCTGTCTTCATCTTTCTTGCTGCTATAGACGTCCTCTATATTAGTATGTACTTCAGACTAAATTGCTTGAATTGTTTTCATGGATCAAGGTATAGCTAAAAGGTCTACTAACAAACTTTATTTTGAACAGATCAAACTTCCTTGGAACAAAGTTCACTGTCTATGATGCTCATCCACCATATGATGGAGCTGTGGTCTCAAAGAGTCACTCTGCACGTGTGGTTGGTTTGAACCAGGTCTCCCCTAGAGTTCCAGCTGGGAATTATCCTGTTTCACATATTTCTTACGAGCTGAATGTTCTGGGCTCCAGGTATGGTCATTGACTGTCTTGCTACGACAAATTAAATCTGGACTTTTGTTTTGGTAAACATAGTTGCCTACCCTTTACTAGGAAGTTGCCTACCCTTTACTAGGAATAAGCTCTTTATATGTGAATCTTGGGTGCAAAGAATTTGGTGGTGATAATTGCAAATGCATTGGTAGGTCAATGGCCTCACTTAAACTGTTCATGTGTAACAGTTGAAGGAGGTGCTTAGATTTTAGTACATGAGTTGACAACATGAAACTGTCCTGTTGCTTGCTTGTTGCAGAGGTCCAAGAAGGATGAACTGTGTTATGGATTCCATCCCTGCATCAGCTGTTGAGGAAGGAGGGAAAGCTCCTACACAGACTGAATTTCCACTTAGCAGCCTTGACTCTTTCCCATCAATTCTATTCTTCAGATCTAAATCAGCTCGGATAGACAGTTCAACATCGCAGTCATCCAGCTCGGATAGGTTGGTGCTGAAGAACAAGTCTCCTAGGTGGCATGAACAACTGCAGTGTTGGTGCCTGAATTTCCGTGGGCGGGTCACTGTTGCCTCGGTTAAAAACTTTCAGTTGGTGGCTTCTGATGACAATGGACCAGGGAACCAAGAGAATGACAAGGTCATTCTCCAATTTGGAAAGATTGGGAAAGACTTGTTCACCATGGACTACCGTTATCCAATATCGGCATTTCAAGCTTTTGCAATTTGTCTGAGCAGTTTTGATACAAAAATTGCCTGCGAATGAGGCAAGGTGATTTTTCTCCTTCTCTATTCCCCTTGCTTATATTAATATATTATGGACACGCATTTGGTCCATAAGACCATAATTTAAGGCCCAAGATCCTCCTTTTCTTACTTCATACTGAATGTCTAGTTTTCTTTCTCGGTGTTCTTACAGCCTGTTCGTTTGATGGTTTCAGCCAGGGTTTATCAGCCATGGTACAGTGTTTTTCTCTCACAACAAACCAGCACCAGCCGGGCTTATCAGCCCAGAAACCAACCAGCGAACAGGCTCCTAGTCTCATTGGTATGTGCTATGGAAGCTGTTAGCAGCTGGCGCTCTTCAAAGTGGTCTCAGCTGCAGAACTCTCTGACCATTACGATGGTGATAGTAAACCTTCACCAAACCTTAGGGATATCTGACTGTCTTGGGTCTGTGCATATCCTATTGATGTTTTCTGTAGATGTTTTTAGATTCAAAAGCAAATAGGCCATTGCATTTGTCCCTCTAATGATCTTCATTACTGTATACATCTGTTGAGTCATCAATAAAATTCTGTTGAACATTCAATTTCCAATGTTAAGGATGAAGCTCCTCAGTCTCCACAGTTACCATTTCTGAGCATCCTATTAGGCTAAACACATTCATAACTAAGAATTCCCTTCTTTCCCGTTTGAACTTTGAAGACAGAAAAATACACTCTGTTCGCTTGATCGTTTCTGTGGCTTATAAGTCGGCTGATGTTGTTTTGTTGTGAGAAAAAAACACTGTATCATGGCTGATAAACATGGCAGATTTGCTTTGGCAAGCAAACATTTGCCCTCTCCGCCTTTATTTCTAACTATGCTTTTGGCCTCGTCTATCTGCAGAAGCTGGACAACAATGGCAGATAGCAGGATAGCATTCATGATGACCTGGAGAAGGAGGGCTGGAAACTACCATACCACCAGAAGAAGTCATATAAAATGATTATGAGCTGCGGTGTGAATACTACAACTAGTTGGTCCCTGCTTGTTCCGCCGCCTAGTTTATTTTTCCTCTGAATTTCAATATATATGCAATTCTTTGCCGGTGTTGGCAAGCCAAAGTCTGTAGTGTGGAAAATGGCTTGTGCTTGTGTGGCCATCGGTGAGCTGATGAGTTCGTGAGAATAGAGGCTTCCAGTGATGGTGTGATGCAGACGTGATTACGCTGTACGAGTTTTTGAGTTTTAATGTTTAGTCAGTGTTTGGGTTCATGGTGAAAAGGGCACAAGGCTATCTTTGTCTACAAGTTCATCATGCAGATTCTTAATCTTAACGGCTTGAAAACGTCCACAGTTTGAACTGTTGAAGCGGCATTGTGATAAAACGTCTCGTTCAGTCGACGGTTTTGATTTTTTTTCCTCCAAAACTTTTGGAGTAATATTTAAACATGAACTAGTAGCAAAATATTTAATTTAGATAGGTTATATAGCCACAAGGAAATCATGATTTCCTTTGTTCAACGTAGGCGTTCAGAGGACAATTTCCACGCACGTCAACCATATTCTTCGTGCGGACGCCACCACCAGTCCACCACGCACCCGCACCAACAGTATGGCATTCTGGTTGCGCCACCAACATGACAAAATGATATGCCATAACCATAATCATTGGAGCAGAAATATCTCATCTTGTGATCCTTCAGGGAACACCACGATGCACAATTTCTCAACGCAACAAGAAGAACAATACATCGTTAGCACGTTGAAAAGATATACCAATGCATCAGTACGTAGTGATACACTCCCGCTCATGGTTCCCACTTCCCACTGATAAAAGTATCAGCTCATCATCTCACAGCAGCTCAAATTTATTTACTGCCCAGCCTACTCTTACTATACATCAAGAAATACGCGACAAAAGCCTTGCCTTGCCATTCACACGGTCTGCACCTCCCTTGCGGCTTCGCCCAGCGGGGCGCCCGCGGCCGCGGACGCGGACGGCACGGTGAGCCGCTCGCCGCCGTCGGCGCTGGCCGGCAGGTCGTCCTCATGGGCCTCCTCGGGGCACTCCAGTGCGCGCACGAACCGCACGAACAGCGGCCAGTGCGCCGGCGAGAAGAACTCCGCGCCCATCCTCTGGTACGTGAACTGGCACGGCCGGGTGCGCCCGGCGGACAGCCAGACGCCGCCCCCGGAGCCGGCGCCGTCGCGCGCCACGGCGAGAGGCGCGCTCTCCGCCGCAAGACGCGCGCCGTGCTCCGCGCAGGCGACCTTGACCCGGGCCAGGCTCTCCTCCGCCGTGGTGTCCGGCCGCGCCTCCACGCCCGACGCGATCACCGCGCACCCGTGCCGCACGAACATCTCCGCGACCGGGCCGTACCCGCCGTGGAGCCCCGTGGTGGCGTCGACGGGGCTCGAACCGCGCAGGAGCGGCACCTTGGCGGACAGCGCCACGGGCTTGCTGCCGAACGCCCTGCACGCCGCAGCCAGGACGCGGTCGCCGTGCGCCAGGAGCTCCCCGGCGTACCAGGACAGGAAGAACTCCCCGTACGCGGACCTCCACGAGCCCCCCGGCTCCCTGAAGGCGGACGACTCCGGCGACTCGTCGTACCGCGGCCCGTCGTGTGGGCCTGACAGGCCCCACAGTGGCTGCCCCAACGACTCGGCGTGGCGCTTCAGCCGGGCCAGCATGTACTTGTCGTAGCACTGGAACTCGCCGATGCCGGCGTAGCCATGGGAGCCCTGGTTCCCCGGCGGGTATGACGGGTACTGGAGCTCGCCGTTAGGACCCAGGCTCACAGTCACATCCTATACCATGAATGAACCAAGAAAAGTAATCAAGGAAGAGCCTTTTACAATAAAGAGAGAAAGAAAAGAAAGAAAGGAGATGAAGTGTGCTGTGTTCTTGGATCTCTCTTACCGTAACTGTTGACCCCAAGAAGTCCTCGAACTCGTCAGCGAAGCTGCGGAAGAAGGCCTCGTAGGCCTGGAGCGGCGACTTGCCGACGAGCACAGGGAGCTCGTCGACGGCGAAGGAGAGGCAGCCCACGCGGCGGTGCCCGGACCGGTCGGTGAAGAGGATATCGGGGTCGGCGTCCGCGGCATCGGCCACCCACTCGGGGAGCGCGTCGCCGTCGGTGCGGAGCGAGACGCGGAGGTCGAGCCCGGCGTCGCGGACCATGGCGGCGACGGTGCGGTACCCGGCCCACTCGAACCAGCCCCCGGATCCGGGCTGCACGACGGCCCAGGACACCGGCAGCTCCACGTCGTCGACGCCGAGCAGCTTGAGCGCGCGCAGCGCCGCCGAGACGGCCCTGGGGCGGCTCACGCCGCGGCCGTCCGAGACCACCGCGTCCGCGGGGAGGCCCACGAACAGCCTCACCGCGGCACCCTCTTCCTCGCCCTCCGCCGCCCGCTCGCCGGCGGCCTCGGAGACGAGAGCTCGCACTGGACCCAGCCTGCTAGCCCAGACAGCCCCAATGGACGCACGCCGAGCCGGACGACGCCGGCTAGGTGCTGCTGGCCGTGGCCTGCCAGCGACGAGTCCCCCACGCACCGCCACCTCGCCGGCGTCGTCGCCGCCGCCGCCTGCTGCATCAGGTCAGGTGCTCAAGTTTATCGCCGGGTTTTTTCCTGCACGAGGTGGGTGGGAGTGGGCTTGGAAAAGACGAGCGTGGGCCCAGGTGGATCCGACACTCCGTCCTCGGAACGTGGGGACGGTGAGAGGAGCCGTCATTTGGGGTAAAGTACCTGTGGATAAGGGTGGCACGTAGGAACGGAGGCGCCGGCGCTTTTACATTTTTACCGGATCGAAGTTTATCCGATTAAGAACGACACTTACAACTTTAGCACATGAAAAAAATTTAAGTTTCTAATTTACCATATTTGCGCATGTGGCAAGCCACGGCAGCCCGACACGCTGGCGCCCAGTCAGCAAGCGCGGGTAAAATGTCATCGCTGCCCCTGTCCATTTTCTTCATTACGCCGCATTTTACCCGCTTATTTCGTCCCTCGCTCATATCGTCCCCATCCCACCCGCCGTCACCGACGCGTTCTTTCCCTACGCCGCCGCCGCCGCCTCGCTCCCCTCCCGCCGTCCCTGCGCCACGGTGACAGCATCTGGTGAGCGGGACCCCTGATGACCGCATTGAAGGTATGTGGCCTTACTCCCCCTTTGCACCCAGGTCCCGTGTCCATTAGGGTTTAGGGTTATGGTTCATAGACGCTGACAAGTCTTCCTCGGTTGAGTGTACTTGGGTTGACACTACCTCTCCCACTACACTACATCACAAGCCTACGAAACAATCAACCTGTTTGTAAGGTTCAGAACGATATGCAGTAAAAAGCCAGGAAACACTTCAATCTATCAGCCTGTTTGCTGGTTGGTTTCTGGGCTGATAAGCCCAGCTGGTGCTGGTTTGTTCTGAGAGGAAAATACTGTACCATGGCTGATAAGCCCTGACTGAAACTAACAAGCGAATAAGCTGATATATCTATACCTCTATACCTAATAATAAAGAGGGCAAAATTTTCGATCATTTTTTTTGTCCATCCATTTTTCTGGTCCATCTTCCTAACTAACTCTATGAATATGGAAATTGTCTCTCTTCTTGTATGTATATATGACATATATGTATGTCATCTTCGTATAAGCTGAATATAACTATGAATCCTAATCAAAATACAAGATGTTCCGATCGGATTTCTTTTGTATTTGTTTTGGAAACTAAGCCTCCACGTGTCGTATACAAATAAGCTGAATATAACGATCGGATTCCTTTAATGTTTGTTTTGGAAACTAATGCCCCACGTGTCGAATACGAACACAACTCACGTTTTGGCTTTGTGTTTCTCCTTGCAAAAAAACTATATATATAATTGAAGCCCATAAAAGGTACCGGCCACTATAGGGATAGAAAGCGGAGAGCCGAAGTTATTATTGGTGCGACATCCAGTAATTTGGATTTCAGACGAGTCTATGCCTACGTGAATACAGCTAGGACTAAGGTTGAAAACGGACATGATGGATCCCGTTCCGTCCGCAACCGTTTACCGTTTTATCCCGACCGTTTTCATTTTTTCGGGAAAATACAGAAACGGGACTGGAAACAGCCGGAATGCACCGAGACCGGGATAAAAAACGGGATGAGGGTTTTTCTGTCCATATTTACGGAATACCGCTTTTGATTGGGATAATCCCGTTTTCATTCCGTTTACAGCTTATCATGATAACCTGCTGGCCTGCTACATAAACATGAGGCCTGGTTCGGCCTATCTATATTCATCTAACTTCCGTATCCTGCACCTTAGGAAGCCTGCTACTGCTAGTGCGAACTTTTCCATGTTGTGTTATTGTGTTTCAAAAAAAAAAACGTATTAATTGCTGGTGTGTGGCCGTGGCCCATGTGGCATGCAGCACTGCCGTATAGGCGTACATCACACAGGTAGCAGTACAGGCGCTGAGGCGTCTGCAGCCTGTTGGCTGAGTCGTATTTAGTTTATAAGTCATGGCTTATCAGTCAATGAATAGTATTTTCCTCTTACATTAAACAAGTCGACAGTACTTTCAGCCATGACATATCAATCAAACAAGCCCAAACGAACAGGGCGCTAGTATCAGCAGCACACGCACCAAGGGTAAGCAAGCTAATGAGCAGATTAGTCCGTGATTTCTGAGGTGTCTTAACTTATTTATTTATTCACTCCTTTTACAAAGGAATTGTTTATTAACTTTAATATGTGTGAGGGTTCATGTGGCACGTAATCCCGGTGTAAGTTCCCGCTTACCGTCCGTTTCTATTTATTTTCCGATCGTATTTACCTGTTTTCGTATTACTGTTCATCCCGCTACCGTTTTCGCTCCTGGCTATCTAGCTCCCACTCTTGTTTCCGTCAAAAAATATGAAAACGGAAATGGTAGAGGTATTTTCTGTTCGTGTCCGTCCATTTTCATCCTTAGCTAGGACATGAGTTCTATTAAACAAAACCTATTTCAATAATATATGATAATACTAGAAAACGAGCCCTAATAGGATACCGATTCCTTTTCCAATACTCATGGACACGGCTGCGTTCATCTTTGTATATAAAAAATAATAGCAATATGATTTTGCAAAGGAAACAAACGTTGTCACTCGCTTGTCAGAGCATCTCCAAAAGTTCCCAAAACACTCTCCGAATCTAGGATTTTTGGTAAAATTGAAAAAATACATCTCCAATAACTCACAGTCACACCTCTCAATCTCTTTGCACCTGGAAAAATCGACCCCATGCGTGGAAAGATCCACGCAGTCAGTCATGCATATCATCGTGCTAAGACGGGTTTCCCCACGCAATCTTTTCAGTCCCGGGCTTCTTCTCCCTTGATCGGCAGGTGCTCATCACACGAGACATGCATGCATTGTTGAGATGCTGCCGTACTCCTGCATCCTGGACGTGAACTGGGAATCTTGAAGTAGCTGATCAGAACGCCTTGAGCTCCTCGGCGAAGCTCCTCTGCCTGCCTAGAACCACCGTCGCGTGGTCGCGCCTGTCCATGACACAGAGCTCGGCGCGCGGGAGCTTTGCCTTGAGATGGCGGCTGCACTCAATCGGAACCACCTGGTCGTCGGCGCCGTGGACCACCTGCACCGGGCATGCATTGAGCCTCTGTTGTACTTCCCATATGCTGCTCAGGGTGACGGCAAGCCGTCCGAGACGCTGGAGTGCGCGATCCACTTTTAGTAAAGTGTTTGGTGTTTAGCGAAAAAGTGTAGATTTTAGCTTTTAGTCCATGGGCAGCTTTGCCGCAATAAAAAGGTGCAGCCATGGCCAGGCGAGGATGTATTCCACAGCGACGGCCTCGGGAAGGCGGCGGCAACGCAGATGCGCCGATAGCCTCAGCGTAAATGGATCCGGACGCAACCCAAAGCCGAGACTCATGGACACAAACTAAAAAGTGTTTTTGTGAAAAGGATGGCCAAATTTTATATTTTAGGAGTGATTTTTTTTTTGAAAACGGTTGGAGAAGCCCTTCATTCTTTGTTCCAATACTTTTTGACAACTTGGTAAACTCAATGATTTTGAAAACTCTTGGAGATGCTCTTACAGGTGCAAAAAATCAGACTCCAAATGAAAAAAAAAATACAGCCAATCGTCCTTGGTGTCCTTGGTGATTCGGCTGAGGTGATATATATTAGGGCCTCTTTGGTTCTCTAGTCCATGGACGCAGCTCGTTATGCTACCACTCCCATCGCCGATAGAATAGTAATTAAACTATAGTCCCGTTGCAACGCATGGATATTTTTACCATTAATAGGAAACACTGTTACTGCTACACGCCTTTAGTTTCATAAATACACTAGCAGTACAAAGTCATGAATTAAATCCAGATATGGAAGAAAGACACCGACAGTTTGACACTTTATGGAAGGGGAGAGAGAGAGTTCAATACCAATTGTACAGGGCTAGGCTGTTCCGGGTGAAACTTACATAGCAGCCAACGACTAATGATGTTACAAATTATACACCAAAAACAAACAGATGTTCGTTTTTATTAAAAGAGTTCGAATCTTCTTATACATTTATGAAGTTTCATGGATCATTTCATTCGAGGAATAACCTTCCTCTTTAGGAGCACTAAAAGATTCCTCAAGCATAGGCAAACCTCACCCACTTAGATTCATTTAGTTTTTAATAAAATGAAATTACAACTATCTAAAAGAAGTCAAACTGCAAGCAGAACAACCATCTTCAATGTTCAATATCAATGCAGCTATTCCAAGAAGCTACTAAATTTGTTTATGCAGCACCACTACTATGCAGTCTAAACTGATGGGCTACCTATATCAGTACTAAGAACCTGTTGGTGTTTTACCTATTGAGAGCATTTAGGGTGTTGCTTTAGATAAGTATTTATCAATGAAACATTATATAAAATAATTTGTATTGTCATGCTAGTTTAGACTAGTCTTTGCACCTATCAATGAACTGTTCTAAAGCTTCCGTCCAGAGTTTTTTATTAATGAAAAGAACTTATGTCCAGACAATGTTTAAAATTCTGTTATGGCCAAACATCATAACAGAATGAACATGGAGCAATATTAAAAACCCTTCATTCCAATCATCCCAACAGGCGAGGATGATACTTGGAATAAAGAAAGAAAGTTGGCTCAGGAAAAAAATAAAAAGTCGGCCAATGGCCAATCGCCAATCAGGGAAAAAAAAATGAGCCGATAGCCGATCAGACACGTAAACGTGGATAGAAAACGGACGCAACCCAAAACGAGACTCATGGACACAAACTAAAAGTGTACTTAGAAACGGATAGAGAAAAGGATGCAAACCAAAACTAGACCCTGGAACAGACAGGAAATCCGAATGAAACCCAAACCAAACCCGAACGTGTACAACGGGGATGTCGGCTCAACCACGGCCATCGGGCCACGCCTGCGCCATTGTAGGAGCTGTATCCCCATTGTGCATGGGCTTTGTGCTGCCATTGGATTATTGCCTCTGTGCAGTGCCAGCCCAAGTTTGCAAGATATTTTTGCACGAGTTCAACATACTTTTGACTTATGCTGCCTGGCCGTGGCTGGTAAAACAAAAACGAACTTTAATCACAACCATCATGAAAATGCGGCCATAATCGTAAATACGTAAAATAACTCACATTGCGATCCGCACTTGTAGAAGCAGATCCTTGTTGGGACCCTCCTTCTTCATGCCTCGGTACGCACGCAGCTCGTTATGCTACCACTCCCATCGAATGATAGAATAGCCTAATTAAACCCATATAGTGATATTTTTACCATTAAATTTCTCCTTTTATAAACAAACACTATAAAATTATCTGCTACATATTTTTAATTTCATAAATACACTAGTAAGTAATTCAAATGATTGCGCAAATGAATGAATCTTTAATCCAGCTATGGTTAGTTTCCCAAAGACACCGACACGTGATCATCTCTGCACAAACAATTTATGGAAGGTCCGATTCTAAAGTTCAGGCCACCAGATTGATCAGAAACTCCCTGAGAATCAAAGACGAACTAGGCTGTTCCGGGTGAGAAACTTGCTCGTCGAGATGAGCAGCCAACGACTAATGATTTTATAATTTTCTAACTACTAAGTTTATAATATATAAACGATGTTCGTTTTATTAAAA